TCTCGTCGTCGTCTCCCTCTCTCCCCACAGCAGCTGCGTGAGTGGTACGCTAGCCGCCAGGGTCGAGCTGCTGGAGCTAGGGGCCCAGTTGCAGGAGGCGCTGGAGCTAATGACTCTGCTACTAGAGTTCCTGGAGCTGCTGCGGGTGCTGGCGCTGGAGGTTCTGGAGCTGCTGCGGGTGCTGGCGCTGGAGGTTTTGGAGCTGCTGTGAGTGCTGGCGCTGGAGGTTCTGGAGCTGCTGCGGGTGCTGGCGCTGGAGGTTCTGGAGCTGCTGCGGGTGCTGGCGCTGGAGGTTCTGGAGCTGCTGCGGGTGCTGGCGCTGGAGGTTTTGGAGCTGCTGCGGGTGCTGGCGCTGGAGGTTCTGGAGCTGCTGCGAGTGCTGGCGCTGGAGGTTCTGGAGCTGCTGCGGGTGCTGGCGCTGGAGGTTCTGGAGCTGTTGGAGGTGCTGGCGCTGGTGGCGCTGGAGCTGGAGGTTCTAGAGCTGCTGCGGGTGCTGGCACTGGAGGTGCGACGCCTGAGGGTTCTGAGTCTGCTGTTGCGCGGTCTCCTTGGAGTAGCCGCCTTCGTCCGCGTGTGCCTTTCACCTCACAGCAGCTGCACGACTGGTACGATCGCCGTCAGGGTCGCGCTTCTGGAGCTCGGGGCTCTGCCACTGGAGGTACTGGAGCTGCTGGGGCTGGAGGTGCTGAGCCTGAGAGTGCTACTGCTGGAGACCCTGGGTCTGGGGGTGCTGCTGCTGGAGACACTGAGGCTTGAGACCCTGGGACTGGAGGTGCCGGTTCTGGGGGTGCTGCTGCTGGTGGAGCTGGTCCTGGAGGAGCTGGCGCTGAGGCTTCTGGAGCTGCTGGAGGTGCTGGAGCTGCTGGGGGTACTGGAGCTGTTGGTGCTAATGGCACTGCACAGCCGCGCCTGTTCTTCGCTCCACCGTCTCCGTCATCTCAGCCACCGCCTGACTCTGTGCTTCCCTAGGTTCTTAGTCTCCCTTTATCTACTGGTCTTCCGTTACAGCCTGGCTCACCGCTGCCTACTCCTTCTCCTTACACTGAGCAGACAGGGGGTCTTACTAAGCGTCGTGAGCCTGCGTCGCGTCCTGTCTCGCCTGTCCGTTCTGCTAGTTCCGGTCGTCGTGTTCCTCGCCCGCGTCAGCCAGCTGTCCCCAGCACCCACCTCGTAGTCCGTCGTCCTTCCTCTCCTCCATAGCGTGTTCCTCTGCCGTCTCCTCCTGCGTCTTCTCTACATGACGTTCCAGAGCCTGAGTCTGACCGCGCTCGTGCTGCTCACCCTACAGTCACGCGTCTGCTAGCCACAGTTGTCATTTACCCGTCGTTTGAGTCTGCTGCTGCGTCTGCCTTAGTCGCTGATCTTGTTGACTTTGCTGCTGCCTGTCGTCTAGACTACGCCGCTAGTCTTGTTGCAGAGTCTGAGTCTGTTTGTCCTCCGTCCGTCGGGGGTGAGTGTGCTTTTGGCACGGACGTCCTTGAGGACAGGCAGGAGGACCTTGAGAATCTTGCAGCCGCTGCGCCTCATCTCATGTCCATGCTGCTTGCCCCTGAGGGAGACCCAGATGCACCAGACATCCCGACTCCGCGTTCTTACGCTGAGGCGATCGCGGGTCCCTACTCCTCTCAGTGGCGGACAGCCATGGATGCAGAGATGGCATCCTGGAAGTCCACAGGCACTTACGTCGACGAGGTTCCCCCTCCTGGGGCAAACATCATGGATTTTCAGGGTGAAGCGGCCGCCAGGTTCTCCGCCTGTCTTCAACGCTCGTTACGTTGCTCGAGGCTTTAGTCAGCGGGAGGGAGTCGACTTCCAGACCTTCTTCCCCACCCTAAAGATGACCACTCTTCGGGTGCTGCTGCACGTTGCCGCTCAGCGTGACTACGAGCTTCACTCTCTTGACGAGGGAGATCTGCACGAGGAGATCTGGCTGCGCCGCCCACCTGGCTTCACTGCGTCGTTCCCTCCTGGTACCCAGTGGAGCCTCCGGCGGCCAGTCTACGGTCTCCGCTAGGCGCCTCGCGAGTGGCACGACACACTGAGGACGACTCTTGCGGCTCTTGGGTTTGCTCCGTCGACTGCTGACCCGTCGCCGTTTCTGCGCACCGACACTTCGCTGCCGCCGTTCTACATACTCGTGTACATCGACGACTTGGTCTTTGCCACTGCTGACACTGAGGCTCTCGCCCTGGTGAAGTTGGAGCTGCAGAAGAGACACACGTGCACAGACCTGGGTGAGCTGCGCAGCTACCTTGGCTTGCAGATCACCCGGGACAGAGCACGCTGCACCGTCACACTGACTCAATCACACATGGTGCAGCAGGTCCTTCAGCGCTTCGGCTTCACCTGGTCCCAAGCACAGGCCACTCCTCTGGCTAAAGGTCACTCGCTCTCAGCTCCACCTTCGGACGAGTCCGTAGAGTCGAGTGGTCCTTACCCAGAGTTAGTGGGCTGCCTCATGTACCTGATGACCTGCACTCGTCCTGACCTTGCGTACCCTCTTGGCCTTCTGGCTTGCTACGTGGCTCCTGGTCGGCACCGAAAGGTGGACATGGATGCTGCTAAGAGGGTATTACGCTACTTGTGCAGTACATCGGGCATGGGGCTCGTGCTTGGAGGACGGAGCGACGTTGTCCTCACTGGGCACTCAGACGCTTCTTGGGTTGACGACCAGGCTACTCAGCGATCGTCACAGGGTTACACCTTCAGCCTTGGCTTTGGTTCAGTTTCTTGGCGTTCTACACGCTCGTCTTCAGTTCTGAGCTCCAGTTGTGAGGCTGAGATCTACGCCACAGCCATGGCTGCACAAGAGTTGCGCTGGCTTACCTACCTGCTGACCGACTTGGGAGAGCGGCCTCGTTCTCCTCCAGTGCTGTACGTAGACAACAAGGCCACCATTGCCTTGTGTTAGGAGCACAGAACGAAGCACATCGCTCTGCGTTACTTCCTTGCTCGAGAGTTGCACCAGCGTGGTCAGCTTCGCCTTGCTCACGTGGCCACTCAGGCCAACACTGCTGATATATTCACCAAGGCATTTTCGCCTGGTGATCATCAGCGCTTTTGTACTTTGCTGGGCCTTGTGCCTACGTTTCCTCACTTGCTGTAGGCTCTGCCTGAACTGTGATCGATATATATATACCTGCATGCTTGCTCCTGCTAGGTAGAGATCACTGTGCTGTTGTTGTTGCATATATACCTCTGCATGTGAACTGGCCTTGTGGCCCTTTGCTTGTGCTCAGTGTGTGTGGTGACGTTGTGATCCACCCTGAGCTTGCTTTGCTTCTCTTGACTGGTCTTGTGACCCCTTGCTCTCCCCCACTTTGCCTGTGGGGGTGTGTCAAATTATGTGTATGTCATATATGTGTAGGCTGTAGTGGGGTAGCCAATATGGGGTACAACCCCATTAGGGTTTCATATTCATTCCTACTACATTCTAACATGTTACACACAGTATGTTGAACAGGAAGGTGGGGAAGATTACATATGTACACTGTACTGTACACATGTCATGGGGGGTGAGACATCTGTAGCACATGGCATGTGAGTAAAACATTTGTAGCTTCGGGTTGGTGCAACTGCAGCAGGGGGCACCGATTTGAGAACTTTGAGAACTGATGTGCTCGAACGACTATGTTTGTATCTGAATATCAAATCCGAGTATCTTGTCCAACCCGATCCGATCCCATCCAGGCCAACTAGTCTCCTCCGCCAGAAGTGTTCAGAGCTGCAGTGGAGGAGTTTGAAGCGATGCAGAGAGAGTGCGTGGGGCTCCTAAAAGTAGACAGCTGGGAATGGGTCAAAGACAAGGCCACGTGGTACGATGGGGCTATGTTTTATGATAGGGGGCACGTGATGTGATAAGGGCACGTGCTGTGATAAGGGCAAGTGTTGCGATAAGGCCATGTGGTGCGATAAGGGCACGTGATGTGATAAGGGCATCATCAACACCCCTGTCTGTCTGCATGTGTACCTTTCATTTACTCCCCCCACATTTCACATTCACAATACTCACAATCAATATATACAAATATCCATGCATAATGATACCAACCCTGTGTATCTTTTCTGTACCTGTGTTCCTTCCCTTCTCTTCCCAAATTCACGATCAATCTTTCATGACCAGGAATGAGACCATCCCTCGATATGGCCGCGACAGGAAGCAATGCCACTACATTTCAATTCGTGATATAGACAGGGGTAGGGTATGCTGTTAGTAAGTGTGTTCATGGCCTGTAGTTTATGTGTCTATGAACAAACCCCCACCTCCCTGCCAGATAACCCCTCCCTGTTCCTCAACCTCTCTACTAGATAGCACCCCTTCCCCAATCCTGCCTCGTCTCTTTTGTGATGATCTGACCTGACGTGATCTGACCGATCTGATTTGATTTTATATAATCTCATGCGCGCAGGTTTGGGCAACAGGATCACATCGTACGTCGTCTCGTTCATCTTGGTTCTTCTCACCAATCGAGCCATCATCGCACCACCACGTGCCTTCCTCACTCGCCGCTTCAGCAACCCCTTCGCCCACGCCAACACCTCCTGGACTGTCGGACCCTTCACTCAGTGGTAATCTCACTAGTGCACTGCAAGGCGCAAAACTCAGCTGCTGGTCTCAACAGCAGTTTCCCTTCACTACATCGCAGCGCAGCACACCGCATACCACCACATTGCATAGCAGCGCACCGCATGGCACCACCCTGCATATCATTGCATCGCATACCACCGCATTGCATAGCAGCAGGTTACAGGGCAGCAGGTTGCACTGCGGTCATGCGATTGAAACACCTGTGGTCTTTAAGGCTGAAGGCTATCTTCTTGACAAGACAACTATCTCACACGCACTCACAGCCCTTTCTCCCGGCTCGCACCTTCCTGACTCTCCTCATATACTCCTCCTTCCCAACCCCCACCTTCAGTCCCCTCCCCTTCCCTGTCCTTCCTCAAACATTTCTCTCAGGCTGCTGTTGTCGACAGTGCTGCGGCAGCCCAAGCTGAACATGAGCGCACTCACTGAAGAGATGAGCACGCAGGGCGATGGGGTGCTGGAGGACATGAGGAGCCGCGTGCAGGAGGATGGCACTGTTTTGCTGGACCTGCACCACAGGTGGGTGGTTGTTTGTCTGAACCTGCACTACGCGTCCGGACTTAGTTTGCAACATGTCAAGCGCGCATCGCTTCATGGCATGCGCGCATCGCTTCATGGCATGCGTGCATCGCTTCATGGCATGCGTGCATCACTTCATGGCATGCATGCATCACTTCATGGCATGCGTGCATCACTTCATGGCATGCGTGCAGCGCACTTTCCATGCAAAACCATCTCTGCACCTCCTCTGTCTCTCTCATCCTGCCCTCTACTGCCGCTTTTCACCATGCCATGCCTTGTTACAAGTATAGGCAAGTGCTCTCAAGACGGCTCGTAATCAGATCCGTGCAGTGCAACGCACTTGTGGGGCTGTCCACTCTTGTCTGGATCGATACCACTTTTTATCCCCAATCCATCCCCCCTCCGATGGTCCCATTCTCCACCCTTTCCCCTCTCCACCCCCTGCCATTCCAATCCCATCCCCCTCCCATTCCCCTCCCATCACCTTTCCACCCCTCCGCCATCCCTGCTTGCCTATGTTCATGCTGCATCGCATCCCTGCCATCGCCTCGCTCCCTGCATGCATGCAGGGTGCACACGGAATTCTTCCCCTTCCATCTCCTTGCCATCTCCTTGCCATCTCCTTGCCATCCGCTTGCGATCCCCACTATGCAGGGTGCAGGTGGAGTTCTGCGACCAGCTGTGGGACGTCATTGCTGCAGCGCGCTTCTGGTACACCAACATCGACACCTACTTCCTGCCCTCCCTCTACTACATCCTATCCTTCGCTGTGAACCTCCACTTCCTCCCTCCATGCCCCTCTTCCCCTGCACTCTAGGTCAACCATTGCTCCTACGACGATAACCCCCCGCCTTCACACCCAAATGAGCAATGATTTGACTGCTCCACTAGGCCAGGTCAGCACTTTGGCCACACGTATCAAGCATTGCTCTATTGCCTGGTGTCCCGCCCTCTCACCCAACCACACATCTAGGCGTGTGTGTGTGTGTGAGTGCCCTTTCCTCCACTCTTGTTCTTCTACCTCCATCATCCACTCCCACCATCTTCTCACTCCCACCCATCCGCTCACAGGCGGCTGAACGAGCTCTTCCCAGACGGCCGCATCTACACACATGTGGCACGCTACCTGTTGCACCCCGACAACCAGCTGTGGGACGAAATCACTTCCCTCTTCCATGTCAACCTCGCCCAACTCCCACACCGCCTCGGCGTTCAGGTGACTGAGAATGGTCTGTGAGTGCCGTGACAGTTCTCCAAGACAAAGCCAAGCGAGCTCTTTCGTGAGAGTTCTTTGCCTGTGAGAGTTGTCTGCATGTGAGAGCTATCTGCATGTGAGACTTGTCTGCATGTGAGACTTGTTTGCATGTGAGAGTTGTCTGTATGTGAGAGTTGTCTGCATGTGAGACTTGTTTGCATGTGAGAGTTGTCTGTATGTGAGAGTTGTGTGCATGTGAGAGTTGTGTGTATGTGAGAGTTGTCTGCATGTGAGAGTTGTGTGCATGTGAGAGTTGTGTGTATGTGAGAGTTCTCTGCATGTGTGGCTTGTCTAAGAGTCCTGTGAGAGAATCTGAAGTGTTTTCTGAAATATTCTGACACCTTTTGTTCCCTCTCCCTCTTGCTGTAATGCTCATCAGTTCAGTCGCCCTCGGAAAGCAGCCTGTCAGTGGTCCATCGTGTGCTCGACCGTGCCCTCAACATCTCCCACTACCTGCCCCCCACTTCCCCTCTAGCAGCAGCAAGTGTGAGCCTCTTCTCACACCTGTCAGCCCCTTCCTACACTTGTTAGCCCCTTCTCACACCTGTCAGCCTTCTCACACCTGTGAGCCTCTCTCACACCTGTGAGCCCCTCGCACATCAGTGAGTCCCCCCTTCTGATTCTTTCCCCACTCCCAACGCCCAGTGCTGCTGCTCCCATTTCTGCCCTTTCTTCTCTTCCAACTACTTCTCAACTCCGTTTGCACTGCTACCCACTTTTTGCTCTGCAGCTCACTTTTTGTTCTGCTCCCCACCCTTTCTATGCTCCTCAGCCTTTTCTCTGCTCCCCACCTATTTCTCTGCTCCCCACCTTTTTCTCTGCTCCCCACCTTTTTCTCTGCTGCCCACCTTTTTCTCTGCTCCCCACCAATTTCTCTGCTCCCCACCTTTTTCTCTGCTCCCCATCTTTTGTTCTGCTCCCCATCTTTCTCTCTGCTGGCCACCGTTTTCTCAACTCCCCACGTTTTCTCTGATCCCCACGTTTTCTCTGCTCCTCACCGTTTTCTCTGCTCCTCACCTTTTTCTATGCTCCCCACCTTTTTCCCTGCTCCCCACCTTTTCTCTGCTCCCCACCCTTTTCTCTACTCTCCACCATTTTCTCTTCTCCCCACCCTTTTCTCTGAACACTAAACCTTTTGCTATGCTCTTCTTGTCTCTATCCACGAGTGCCAACAGTCCTGTTCACCGCACCGCACCCCTTAATACAGCAATTCTCTCCGGTTCTCCACATCATCCACACCTTGTTTGTACCCAAGTTCGACTGCCTTCTGCGCCATTTAAGCAATTCCACAGTTCCATTGATGCCTATGACCAGGATGCACCCTGGACGGAAGCGAGTGAGTCCCCATACAAGGAGATGGGTGGCCTGGTACATGAATCGATCAGCCGTGTATCTTTGTCTGGCTTGACTCCTGCTGCTGCTTCTTACCTCCCAGAATGCCCCCAGGACGTCAGCAAGCGAGTCCCCGTATGAGAAGATGGTGGTGTTTGTGTCGTCGCTCACCATTCGCCACCTCATGGACCTGCGGCACCACTACCTGCACCACCATGTGTTGGGCAGCACTCTCGTTGAATTTTGGACGTGAGTTGTTGCTCCCTTCAGGCTCCCTCCAATGTGCCTCACGGTGCCACTGAGGTGCCTCCAATGTGCCTCACGGTGCCATTGAGGTGCCTCCAATGTGCCTCACGGTGCCACTGAGGTTCTCTTGGCTTCTTGGCTGAAGTTGGAATTAATCTGATCAGCATCCAGGATGCTTGACGTTCCCTGGCCGATTATTTGTCATGCTTGATTGACGCTCGGGAAACCAAAAAGCTTGGGCAGGAAATATGAAACAGGGGGGGGTGGGGGGGCGGGGGGGGGGGGGGGGGGGGGGGGGGTGCGGTTTGAGGAGGAGGGGGGTGGGGAAGGGGGAAAAAGGGGGATGACGGTGAATGGAAGGGCTGAGATGGGAGATAGAGGCGGCCAAAATTGGAAAATTAAAGTTTCTCAGGATAAAACTCATCAACAGGGAAAGGGAACAGTTTCACGTGGGTTGTGTACTTTTCTTTCTGGGCTGGCCATGAAGAATAGGTCGAGAGCCAACGTTAAAACGCTCTTCAACCGTTTCCCGTCAAAATGCTATCGTTTCGCACTTGTCGCTCCCCCTATAAGCGTCAAATCTAGTATAGCTCTTTCCGTGGATAGGGTCTGGTTGCCTTTCGTATGACGTTTGAGTCGACGTCACCTTGAATTCAACCTCAAAATCAATACTCACTCATGTCACGCTGCCACATGCAGGGAAGCGCTTTTGTGTTGACTTAGGCAACTTGCGTACCCCATCTTAATCTGTGTGTGCTCCCTTGCAACGTCAGGCTGACCAATGAGGAGGAGGAGAATCATGAGGAGCAGCAGATGCTATCGGCAGCATTGGTGTGGCTTCTGAGCTTCTGGTGAGCTGACTTTGAGCTTTCAGTGATCAGACGTGCTTCTTCTGCTATGTCAACTTATCCCTCCGTCTGTTGTGTTCTGCTTCCATTCCCCCATCCCTCCAAAAACCATAGCTCAGCTCATAGCACATGGGCCGTCGATTGGCAACACAGCAGCAGCCCTGCCAGCCAGCCAGCCATACGGCCCCCATTCTGGCCCAACGCCCTCCCCATCTTCCCTCCAGCGACCGCCTGCTCATAACGCACCTCTCCTCATCCCTTCTTATGTTCTCTCCCTTCCTTTTCTCCCCTCTCCTCCCCTGTATATCCTCCTGTGTGCCCTCTCCTCCCTTGTGTTATCTTTCCTCCCCTATGTATCCTCCACTGCCGTGTGCACCCTCTCCTCCTCTGTGTTCTCTCTCCTCCCCTGTGCACCCTCCCTTCCCTCACCTTCCCTGTGTTCCCTCCCTTCTCCTGTGCTTCTCCCTGCCCCCCCGTCCCCCCTCCCAGTGACCGCGTGCTCATAACGCACCTCTCCACGTTCGGCAGCACGGCAGCGGGGCTGGCGGGCATTGATGGCTATTCCATGGCGGTAACGGTGATAGACGGCATGGGCGTTGACTGGCGCAACTCCTCCGGCCCCACGTGCCAGCCTGTCTCCTCCGAGCCCTGTGACCACGTCGGCGGCCCCATTGAATGGGTGAGTTTCTTGCGGCCCACAGACATGCTTAGTACAGTAGTGGAGTCATTTGAAATCTGGTCTTCTACTGGTACAGCATTTCAGGAGCCTCGTCCATGAGTGAGTGTCATCGGAACCGTTCACCTCCTTAGCGAGTGATGTCACATGAGTGCTGTTCGATGCCGCTCCACTTTCCTCGTCTCCCTTGTACCGGTCCCCGTCTTTTGTGTTTTCCCATTTCACTGCATGTTAACGTCCTTGAATGACGAGCCACGTTTATGTCGCTGAGAGGGTGTGTCCTTGATGTGGTATGCATCTATTTATGAGCTCGTGTATGCAGGGTGGGTGCAAAGGGTTTCACAAGTTTGGTGCAAATCACTCTAGCGACATGATTCCCAACTTCGGACATTGCCCAGGGATGCCGTTTGGTTTGCAAAACAATAAACCTCTCACGGGGTAAGTGGTGGTGATTTTTATCATTCATTACACTAAGGGTGCATTGTAGGATCATGCTTGTGATTGATTCTTGTTATAGTACTTCATAGTGTTTCGAACAGGGCTAATTTTTTGTTTTGAGCAACCCTTGTGATCAGTGTTGCACCTGTTCAAAACCTGATAAACCCTGATCCATCAGTGTTTTTCGTGTTTTTGAACATCCAACCCTGTAGCATGAGTGTCCCGGTTTTCCGAAGCCTGGTGAATTAGTGTTATCATGTCAGACAAACAGACCGAGTTGAGTCAGTGGTGATGGTGGCCAATGGTGGCCCACTTCGTGCCAGCACATGTATTGTCGAGGCTGAAATTTCGGTTTGACAGTTGGCAATCGGGAATCCCAGGTTACGGGAAAAGGGGGGAGGGGGAAGTGGGGGGGAGGGTATGGTACTCGCTTCAGGGTAAAACTCGTTATGAACATCGGTAGCCCTGAGGCATCAGTGGCATATCAGGAAAATCCTTGCTCCAAAAAAAGATTACCCTGGCCATCAGTGTGACTACCAAAAACCATAGTGATTTACGCTGATAAAATTAGCCCTGGTTTCAAAGCATGGTACTGCTTGTTGGAATCTTAGGAAGATGTGCATTCGGTCATGGGAAGGGGGATACAAGAATGGTGTCGAGAAAGTGGTTGACTAACCCCATTATAGCCCAAATATATATGAATATATATGCTTTAACGTACCCCATAGGCGAAGTGGGGGATAGCCAGAGCAAGCATGGTCATAAGACCAATTTAGAGAAAACAAGACAAAGCTCAGGGTGGTTCTTAAGATCACCACACAATCCAAGCACAAGCAAGCGGCCACAAGGCCAGTTCACATCCAGAGTTATACAAGGCCATCGCCCTGATATAAAGACAGTGTTAAGTAGAAGACATGGGGTGTTTATTAAACGGGTGTCTCTTATAAATGGGTTCTCCTGATTATAGTACACATGTAGGCGTGTACGGGTTAAGCCAGTGTAGGGGTTATAGGTAATCCTATAGCGAGGGGTTATCTTCTAAAGGGCTCTTTGTTCATTTATAAGAATTATAAGACACCCTAAACCACCCCAATTATAAGGAAACCCAAGAATTTTCTATTGTATAAGATAAGACCTATATGTCTTATATCCGGGCGATGACGGTAATTAGCACATGCAGTACAGTGATCACAACCTAGCAAGGGCAAGCATGCAGGCGGTATATATATAGATCACATTACAAAACAAAGTCAAGAAGTAATCAAGTGAGGATGAGTAGGCACAAGGCCTAGAGTAGTGCACAAACGCTGATAATCACCCAACCCTAGGGCCTTGGTGAAGATATCAGCAGTGTTCGCTTATGAGGCCACGTAAGCAAGGCAAAGCTAGCCATGTTGCTGTAGCTCTCGTGCGAGGAAGTACCACAGAGTGATATGCTTCGTTTTGTGCTCTAGTCTCTGCTCACGACACAAGGCAATCATGACATTGTTGTCGACGTACATGACCGGAAGAGAACGAGGCCGCTCACCCAAGTCTGTCAGCAAGTAGGTCAACCAGCATAACTCCTGTGCAGCCATGGCCCACGCGTAGATCTCAGCCTCACAACTCGAGCTGAAAACCGAAGACGAGCGGGTGGACCTCCAGGAGTCAGAACTAGAGCCAAGACTGAAAGTGTAACCTTGTGATGACCGCTGAGTCTCGTGGTCGTTTACTCAAGAATCGTCTGAGTGCCCAGTGAGCAGAACTGGACCCCATCCTTCAAGCACAAGTAACGCAGTACCCTCTGCGCAGCTGTGCAGTGCTGCTTCCCGTGTCTCCTGGGCACAACAAAGCGAGCAAGGATGCTGAGAGGGTACGCGAGGTCAGGTCGATTGCAAGTCATCAGGTACATGAGGCAACCCACATGCACTGGATGCGGACCACTTTGTCAGAACCATATTGTAGGCTGTAGTGGGGTTGACAATATGGGGTACAACTCATCTAGGATTTCATATTTGTACCCACCTGCTTCCTAGTTGCATTCATTCCTCGTTATTATTCTCACATGGTATTAGAGCAGAATCGTTCCTAGGGCCCACCGAACGTTCCGCCCTGCCCTAACTGGATATTTCTTTTTAGCTGCCCCTGCAGCCGCGCTGCCCTTGCAGCCCGCGTGCTGCCTATGCGACCGTGCTGCCACTGCAGCTGTGCCTGCCCCTGCAGCCGTGCCTGCCCATGCGACCGTGCTGCCCCTGCGACCGTGCTGCCCCTGCAGCCGTGCCTGCCCCTAAAGCCCGTGGGCGCTGCCTCTGCAGCCCGTGCGTCGCCCCTGCTCGTCGCGGCGCCCCCCTCGGCGCCGCCCCTGCTCGTCGCGACACCCCCAGGGCGTCGCCCCTGCTCGTCGCGGCGCCCCCCCTCGGCACCGTCCCTGCTCGTCGCGGCGGCCCCGGGGCGTCGCCCCTGCTCGTCGCGGCGCCCCTTGGGCACCGTCCCTGCTCGTCATGGCGCCCCCGGGGCGTCGCCCCTGCTCGTCGCGGCTCCCTCAGGGCGCCGTCCTTGCTCGTCGCGGCGCCCCCTGGGCGCCGTCCCTGCTCGTCGCGGAGCCCCCCCTGCAGCAGCTGCCTCGGAGCCCCCTGCAGCAGTCGCGGCCCCGCCCTGCAGCAGCTGCCGCGGAGCCTCCTGCCGCCGACGCGGCCCCGCCCTGCAGCAGCTGTCGCGGAGCCCCCTGCCGCGGTAGCGGCCCCGCTCTGCAGCAACTGCCGCCGCCGCGGCCCCGCCCTGCAACTCTCGCGGCCCCGCCGTCGCCGCCGTCGTGCGCCTACCCTGCTCGCCCGGCGAGCGACTGCCCTTCCCGCCACTGGTGAGCACTTGCCCTACCCGCGCTTCCCGCGCGCCTGCCTTACTAGCGCGCTGCCGCGCCGGCCTGCCTGCCTGCCTACCGCGCCTGCCTACCAGCCGAGCCGCGCCGCCCAGCTGAGCCGAGCCGCTCAGCGGCACCAAGCCACACTGCCATGCCCGTGCTGCTACTGCTGTTGCTGCTGCTACTACTACTACTGCTACTGCTGCTCCTGGTGGTGGCCAGATGCAGCTCCAGCGACGTCCACGTGAGTCCCTCACGCCCCAGTAGGTTCGAGTGGGACGCTAGTTGAGGTTGTAGGGGTGGCCGCACTGCTACTGCTGCTACTGCTGTTACTGCTGTTACTGCTGCTACTGCTGTTACTGCTGCTACTGCGGCTACTACTGCTACTGCTGCTCCTGGCGGTGGCCAGATGCAGCTCCAGCGACGTCCGCGTGAGTCCCTCACGCCCCAGCAGCTTCGTGAGTGGTACGCTAGTTGGGGTTGTAGGGGTGGCCGTGGTGGGAGTCGCCCTGGGGCGGGTCGTTCGGGAGCTTCTTGTAGTGACTAGGTGCAGCTGCAGCAGCGTCCGCGCGCGGTCCTTTCGCCCCAGCAGCTTCGTGAGTGGTACGCTCAGGGTAGAGGATCACGGAGTACTGCTCGCTGCCTGTACGTCATTCGCACTTGTGCTCGGGCTGGTCAGCCTTGCGGGACGGTTGGTCACACAGAGTCCTGCTGCTTCGCCAGTCCGAGCGACGCCTGGCGTACAGAGTTTGGCGGCGACGCTGAGCTCCCCTCCTGGCTGGAGCTGCTTAGGCAGAGGGTAGATATCTTTGCTCTTGACTATGATGCTGTCTTCACTGCCATGTATGCATTGCCTACTAGTGCTGAGGGTGCCTGTTACCTGTGTGTGCCGCCTGACCCATGTATAGAGTCTGCTGCTCTAGGTACTGGTAAGGCTGCTGCTCTAGGTGCTGGTGCGTCTCCTACTCCAGGTGCCGGTGAGGCTGTTGCTCTAGGCGCTAGTGAGTCCACTGCTCCAGGTGCTGGTGAGTCTGCTCTCTCTGGTACTGCGCCTACTGCGGCCTTGCACACTTTCACCCTTGACTCTGGTGCTTCCCGCTCCTTCTTTTGCGACTGCACCACACTCTCGCCGCTTAGTCGGCCAGTGGCAGTCTCAGGACCAGACCCCTCTGCAGGTGCGGTCCTTGCACACTCCTCCACGGTTCTGCCGTGTCCGGCGGTCCCGTCTGGCTCTCTGTCTGGCCTCCACCTCCCCTCGTTCTCCACGAAATTTGTGAGTGGAGCTGACCTTCAGGACGCGTGGGTTGACCAGTTCACTCCTGGAGGTCAGCGGGTGACCCACTGTTCGTGTACTCGGACGGGCCGTCACCTGGCCACGTTCACCCGTCAGCCTGGGTCGAGCCTGTACACCCTGACTACCGTGTCTCCTCCGGTTGCTGAGTCTGGATAGGTAGCCACGTCGGGTCAAGTGTGGTGTTTGCTGCAGCGTCCCGGTCTGGTCCTGAGTCTGCCCCCTGCTCGTGTCGCCTCCTGTCTCACCAGACTCTCCTCTGGCACCACCGCCTTGGTCACCCCTCCCTGCCTCGTCTCCGAGGCATGGCCTCCAGTGTCCTTGTCATTGGTCTTCCCCGGTCTCTCCCTCCCCTTCCCCCGGGACCTGCCCCTACCTGCGTTCCTTGCGTCGAGGGGCGGCAGCGCGCCGCTCCTCACTCCTCCGAGTTCCCTCCGACGGAGGCTCCGCTGCAGACGCTTCACATGGACGTGTGGGGCCCAGCCTGCGTCCGTGGCCAGGGTCACGAGCGCTACTTTCTGCTGGTCGTTGACGACTACTCGCGTTACACCACAGTCTTCCCCTTGCCCTGCAAGGGTGAGGTCACCGAGGTGCTGATCGCCTGGATCCGCGCTGCCTGTCGTCAGCTCAGCGAGAGTTTTGGCTCGGACCTTCCTGTTCTGCGTCTGCACTCCGACAGAGGTGGAGAGTTTTCCTCCGACCTTCTGCGAGCCTTCTGTCGTGCGGAGGGCATCCGCCAGACCTTTACGCTTCCGGCCTCTCTGCAGCAAAATGGGCTTGCTGAGCGCCGCATTGGCATGGTCATGGATGTCGCTCGTACGTCCATGATCCATGCGGCTGCTCCCCATTTTCTGTGGCCGTTCGCGGTTCAGTACGCGGCGCATCAGCTCAACCTCCAGCCCCGGGTCTCCATGCCGGAGACCACACCTACTCTGCGCTGGACGGGGAAGGTTGGCGATGCGTCTGCGTTCCGTGTCTGGGGATCTCGAGCTTTCGTCCTCGACTTGTCTGCGAACAAGCTGTCCTCCCGTGCTATTCCCTGCGTCTTCCTTGGCTTCCCCCCTGACGCGCCTGGTTGGCAGTTTTACCACCCCACCTCGCGCCGTGTTCTCTCCTCTCATGGCGTCACGTTTGACGAGTCGGTTCCTTACTACCGTCTCTTCCGCTACCGCACTGCCCCCCTCCCCCCTGCCGCTACTCTTCCTCGCGCCAGGTCCTCCCCCGGTAGACCCCCTCCCCCCTCAGGGTCCTGCCCCCTCAGGTGTGTCCCAGGTAGACGCAATCGAGCCTGTCGAGGTAGTTGTTGACTCTGGTGCTGCTAGGGGTGCTGAGCCTGCGGGTGCCGGGTCTGGGGGTGCTGAGCCTGAGCGTGCGGAGCCTGGGGGTGCTGAGTCTGGGGGTGCTGAGCCTGGGGGTGCTGAGTCTGGGGGTGCTGAGCCTGGGGGTGCTCAGTCTGGGGGTGCTGAACCTGGGGTTGCTGAGTCTGGGGGTGCGGAGCCTGAGGGTGCTGGGCCTGCTCGTGTGGAGTCTGGCGGTGCTGAGTCTGGAGGTCCTTCGGGTGCTTCGTCCCGGCGGGAGCCACTCTTTCCATAGCAGCTGCGCGAGTGGTTTGCTCGGCGCTGGAGCCGTGCTGCTGGAGCTGGTGGTTCATTGCGCTGGAGGCCCTGCTGCTGCTGGAGGTCCTTCTGCTGTTGGAGCTGCTGGGGGTTCTGGAGCCACGGGTCCCGGAGGTGCTCGTACTGGAGGTACCAGAGCTGCTGGGCCTGGTGGTTCTGCTGGAGCTGGAGCTGCTGGAGGTGCTGGAGCTGGTGGTGGTGCTGGGGCAGGCGCTGCTGGAGGTACTGGAGCTGGAGCTGCTGGCGCTGCTGGGGCTTCTGGTGGTCCTGCTGGAGCTGGAGCTGCTGGGGGTGCTGGAGCTGGAGGTGCTGCTGGAGCCGGTGCTCCTGTGGGTGCTGGAGTTGGCGCTTCTAGTGCTGCTGGAGGTGCTGCTGGAGCTGGTGGTACTGCTGGAGTTGGAGCTGCCACTGGGGGTGCTGGTTCTGTCCCTGCTGGTTCTGGGTACACTCCGCAGCATGAGAACTGACACACTTGGCTCTACTGATTCGTTCGAAGGTGGAGCTGAGAGCGAATGGCTCGTAGGCAGAGGAGTGGGTTGTGGCAAGGAGAACCAAAAGCGGAAGCGCCGAAGGACCTTCGTCACCATGTGTAATTGAGTTAAAGTAATGGTGCGCCTTGCTATGTCCCGGGTGGTCTGCAAGCCAAGATAATTGCACAGCTCACCCAGGTCTGTGCAAGTGTGTCTCTTTTGCAGCTCCGCTTTTACAATGGCTAGTGCCTCTATGTCAACACTAGCAAAGATCAAGTCGTCGACGTGCACGAGGATGTAGAACGGCGGCAAAGAATAGGTTGGTGCGTAGATACAACGACGGGTCAGCAGTCAAAGGAGCAAACCCAAGAGCCGCAACCATCATCCTCTGGGTGTTGTGCCACTCGCGAGGCACCTGGCGGAGACCGTAGACTGGCTCAACTGGGTACCCTCAGGAAACAACCTGGTGAAGTCAGGTGGGCGGCGCAGCCAGATCCCCTCGTGAAGGCTGCCATGCAAGAAAGCTGTCGAGAAGTCTAATGAGTAAAGCTCGTAATCACGCTGTGCTGCAACGTGCAGTAACACCCGAAGAGTGGTCATCTTCGTGGTGGGGGAGAAGGTCTGGAAGTAGTTGACTCCCTGTCGCTGACTGAAGCCTCGTGCAACGTGACGTGCCTTGTAGGCAGGCGGAGAACCCGGCGGCCGCTCATCCTGAAAATCCACATACCATCGACTATGTTTGCCTTAGGTGGGGGAACTGCATCGACATAGGTTCTTGTGGACTTCAAGGATGCCTTCTCAACATATATGGCTGTCTGCCACTGAGAGGAGTACTGACCAGTAATTGCCTCTGCATAAGAGCGCGGGGTCGGGATGTCCAGTGTACCCAGTGTCCCTCAGGGCAAAAGTAGCATGGCAGCGAGATGAGGTACAGCAGTCGCGAGGCACTCGAGCTCAAACTGTCACTGCCAAGAGCAAGCTCACCCCCAATGGACGGAGGACAGTCACACTTAGACTCAGTAACAAGACTTGCGAAGTATTCGAGACGATAGGCGGCAGCAAAGTCAACGAGCTCAGTGAATAAGGCAGACGCAGCAGCAGACTCAAAAGTAGGGTCAGTGACAAGCGTGGCAAGATAGCGATTGACAGTGGGACTAGTAGCACGAGCAAGGTCAGACTCAGGGTCAGGGACGTAAAAAAATTAGGAAGCAAGAGGAGGCAGCAGGGCAACACGCTGTGGAGCAGGGGAAGGTCGAAGTGCCGTAGTGTGTGTGCCGGGGATAGGTGGAGAACGAACACGACGAGTTCGACGAACAGTGCGAACATGCGAGGAACGAAAAGACGCATCACGACACTCAGTTTGGGAGCCAGTCTGTCATGTAAAGAGATGGAGGAGGCAATGGGTAGCTAGGCTGTAACCGCGGCTGTGACTGGCGAGGCCGAGGAAACAGTAGGGGAGGAGTGAGGCCAGGGGAAGATGGTGAGAACCTAGTGAAGCGCCGAGCCAGGCGGTGGCAGCGACAACTCCGGCCGAGGCCAGAAAGACGGTCGCCGCTGCACAGGCTGCGCAACTCCCCCAGCACCGGAACCTCCAGTACCTCCAACTCCAGTACCTCCAGCTCTAGTACCTCCAGCTCCAGTACCTCCAACTCCAGTACTTCCAGCACCAGTACCTTCATTACCAATACCTCCAGCTCCAGTACCTCCAGCACCAGTACCTCTAGCACTAGCAGACCTAGTACCTCCTGCTCCAGAGGCAGCAACCCCAGGCTCAGTACCCCCAGAATCAGCACCTCCAGAGTCAGCGCGTCGTCTGACCACCCACTTACGCAGCTGCTGCGGCGAGAGAGTCTCCTGCGAACACGACGGCAGCGGCTGTCCGTCCTCAAGCTCAGCACCCCTAGAGTCAGCACTCCCACACTCAACACCCCCAAAACTCTTCCAGAACCAGCACGGCATCCTACTACCCACTCACGAAGCTGCTGAGGCGAGAGAGTCTCCTCCGGACGCCATAGTGTGTATGCCACGCATCACGACACTCTGTTTGAGAGCCAGTCTGCTTGTGTAAGGAGAAGGAGGAGGCAATGGGGAGTTAGGCTGTAACCGCGGCTGTGACTGGTGAGTCCGAGGACACAGTAGGGGAGGAGTAAGGCCAGGGGAAGATGGTGAGAACCTGGTGAAGCGCCGAGCCAGGCGGTGGCAGTATGCAGCTTTGTGGAGGGGCACGACACCAAGTGCCTGCACGGAGCACGGTGCCCCTGACTTTCAACTACATGCTCTGCCTGCACATCCCTCTCTCTGCCAATTCCCTCCCCCGCAGGCCCTGGAGTACGACACGCCTACCAACCTGGTGTTGAACGAAGCCAGCGTCTTTGCAGCAATGGTGCGCAGCACGGGGCCTCAGACCGCCAAGTACCTGCTCTTCCTCCAACCCCCCCTTACCTCTCCCCATCCCTCCCACTTCCCTCTTAGGCCCTCGAGTACGACACTCCAGCCAACCTGGTGCGGAATGAAAACAGCGTCTTTGCAGCCATGGTGCGCAGCACGGGGCCTCAGACCGCCAAGTATCTGCGCACTGTGGCGCTGGGGGAGGTGGCGCTAGCAGACGAGCTTGCCGGCCGAAAGGCGGCGCAGGAGAAGCAGATGGCGCGCGAGGCAGCTAAGTGGCGGTGGGCCACTGCGGCCCAGTGGGCTCTGGCTCTCACGCTCACCTCATCCTAGAGGGATTTGCAGGTGGATGCTGTGCTATACAAGTGCTTACCTCTCAGCGGCCAAGTGGCGGTGGGCCACTGCCGCCCAGTGGGCTCTGGCTCTCACGCTCACGTCCTCCCAGCGAGATTTGCAGGTATGTGAGTGTGAAGTCTCGCACATTATGTACTAGCTACAGAGCTGCTGGCTTGAAGGTTGCAGGTGCTTGCGTGCCTCTCACTTGCAGAGTGGTGGTGGGGTACTGCCGCCCGGTGGGCCCTGGCTCTCATGCTCACATCATCCCAGAGGGACCTGCAGATGGGTGCTGTGCTATACAAGTGCTTGCCTCTCTCTTTTTCTGGCCAAGGCCAGAAAAACGATCGCCGCTGCACAGGCTGCGCAGCTCCCCCAGCACCGGAACCTCCAGTACCTCTAGCTCCAGCACCTCCAGCTCCAGTACCTCCAGCTCCAGTACCTCCGGCTCCAGTACCTCTAGTACCAGTACCTCTAGCTCCAGTACCTCCAGCACCAGTATGCCCGGCACCAGCAGACCTAGTACCTCCTGCTCTAGAGGCAGCAACCCCAGGCTCAGTACCCCCAGATTCAGCACCTCCAGAGTCAGTGTGTCGTCCGACCACCCACTTACGCAGCTGCTGCAGCGAGAGACTCTTCTGCAAACGCGACGGCAACAGCTGTCCATCCTCACGCTCAGCACCCCTAGAGTCAGCACTCCCATGCTCAACACCCCCAAACTCCTCCAGAATCAGCACGGCATCCTACTACCCACTCACGCAGCTGCTTTGGCGAGAGGGTCTCCTCCGAACGCGACGGCAGCTGCTGTCCACCCCCACGCTCAGCACCCCCAGAACCCACACCCCCAGTCCCACCACCTCCAGTAGCACCTAAGTCTACGGGTACAGGCTACAGAGGTGACGATGACGGCCGAGGCGGAAAACCAGGAGGGGTCTCCAAGCGCAGGGTGCGGCGAGTGGCCGCAGTGTCGTCAGCAGCAGTGTCACCCTCCTCAGCCAGGCCAGAGGAGAACACGAATGGCTCAACCAAGCGGGGTGGTGTGACCTGAGACTCACCTGAGGGAGCAGGACGCGAGGGGGGATGGGGATCTATTGAGGGGAAACCTGTCGCCAGGAAGAGGGGCGGTGGGGGGACAGGAGAAGACACATGGGGGAGGAGACGGTAGTAGCAAACTGACTCGTCAAAGGTGACGTCCTGGGTGTCAACGGGAGTTGTGTGTTGGCCCCGTCCTCGCTTGGACGGAGCCGCCTTCGTGGTCGGGCCTACGGGAGGTGCAGCCGAACAGCAGCAGTGGGCGGCGCCGACTTAGGCACGTAGGTCGACCAACTTGGTTGACCTGCACGGGCCACTGCGAAGCCGCCGACCTTGGAAAGCCGGCGGCTGACTTCATTGTGTGGTCGGCGATAGGGCCGGTCGACTAAGAGGAGGCGCCGACTTGGTGGCGCTGAACTGGGAGGCGCTGACTTGGTGGCGCCGAGTTGGGAGGCGTCGACTTGGGGACGCCGAGATGGAAGGTGTCGACCCGTGAACGCCGACCTAGGATAGCCGACTTGGTGAAGTCGGCAGGATGTGGTTGTCGACCTGGGCTGTCACCGGGCACACGGTGTAGCACCTCGTCTGCGTGGCTGCCCAGTCAACCAGGTTACTTGGCGTCAGAGTTCTGCGGAGGTGTGCGACGGTCGCTGGGTTGGTTTTAACAAAAACGACCCGGAGGTGGTATCCCGAGGTCAACTTGGCTGACCAGGCGCAGTCAACAGCGCGTGGACGACTTGGCGTCAGCGCTGTTCTGACGGGGCACAACACGCCAACCAACCGCGAGCACCTGTGCAGCGGGTGCACTGCTATCATGTGGATGCAACGCTTTGCAGCTGCCTTATTGTAGCGTTGGTACACCGTCGACCTGCAACATTGGCACGCCGCCACTTTGCCCTGCCCACGGTTGACCTTGCCGTGCTGGAACGGTCGACCGTGCTGCACTGGCAGTCGACCTGCTTGCATGCTAGATTCTAATGTTGTTAGTGTTGCTTTGAAAGTGTTGACCATTGTTATCAATTTTTGCTAATGAAACTCTTGCGGTTTTGCCCCGTGAACGCACAATTGATACAGAACACTAAGGAAACGCTACGATCACTCCCACCACCGTGCCTTCCCCGTAGTATAGCTCCCGTTGTAATAGTTATCTTCGCATGGTGCAGTGAGCGTGGACAGCACCGCAGTCTACCTACTGATAGGAGCCGAATTTTTCACCTATAAAGTCGTTCGTAGGCCGACAGCACGTGTGACCATGACACCCGTCCCGGTAGTTCCCGGCGCGGTAGAGGATAGTCCGGAGACACTTTGGGCTGATGCGAGGAGACGCCACAAGGCTGGCGAGTTCGGGCCGATCTTCCCCTTGGATGTCATCGAGCTGGGCATCTGCGCAAAGTGGGCGATGGTACACCCTTTCCGAGCTGTTTCTCCTCGACCGGTGAACAACGACGGTGGCATCGACGACGACATCGACATCGGTAACCAGGTTGGCAGCAGTGCGGGAGATACAGTGGCCGATTTCAAGCCTACATAAGATAAGACACATATGACTTCTACGACCTGCTCGCCGCCAGCAGCAGCACTGCGATGCTGAAGGAGCTGAAGGAACTGCCGGAGGCCGCCTTTGAGTTATGCAAGATCTCGCCGGTCGTGAAGTACCTTGGGCTAGAGATCGTGCGTGACAGGCCAGCAAGGAAGCTGTTGCTGCACCAACAGAACTATGCCGACAAGCTGCGCAGGCCCTTCATCGACGAGGAGGAAGGCGGGCGCATCCCAAAGACGCCGGTCCCGGTCGACGCCTACGCCGAGCTGACATTCGACGACGAGGAGGCACAGAAGCGCGAGGAGGAGGAGTACCGGCAGAAGGTTGGCTCGCTGCAGTTTGTGGCGACGACGACAAGGCCGGACACCGCCTTCGCCTGCAGCAAGCTGGGGAGCAGCGACCAGCACTGGCGCGAGGTCGACCGCTGCCTCTCGTACCTCGCCGACACCCGCGAGACCACCCTGGAGTTCGGCGGTGGACCAGAGTCGCTGGAGCTGATCGGCTACGTAGACGCCGACGACGTGAGCGACAAGCAGAACCAGATGAGCACGGGCGGCTACGTGTTCGTCTTCGGAGGGGTCGCGGTCTCCTGGTCGAGCCAGCGCATCAAGTGCGCAACACTCTCCTCGACTGAGTTAGAGTACGTCGTGGCCACAGATGCCGGCAAGGAAGGGCGTCGACTTTGCTTCCTCCTTGTAGATTTCAAGCTGCTCGACGCGGGGAAGCCGACCATCCTTCTCGTGGACAACAAGTCGGCAATCACGTTCGTTGAGGGATTGGGGCTGCAGGATAACCTCAAGCACATGGAGCGACGCTACGCCTGGCTGCAGCACATGGTGAGGTGCGGGAAGTTCGTGCTGATGTACATCCCGACCATCGAGCAGCCGGCAGACTTCCTGACGAAGGCGCTGCATTTTCCAGCTTTCAGCTGGTGCTCTGTCACCATCAGCCAAGTTCGTCTGGCCGACGTCTGCAACGGCGACAATGATGTGCAGCAGTAGGTGCCGTGCCCTTCTGTACAGCTGGTGCGGTGACGGCGTGCTGTGTGTGGGGTGCACGCCAAGGACGAGTTTTCTCCATGGAGTCCTGCCGTGTGGGCTAGAGGCCCAAGCATGAGCGCGGCAAAAGAGTGTTAACGGGAGTGAAGTATTAGCCCTGCCCTCGCTTGGGCAACGCCGACGACTTGGTCGGATGTATGGGTTAAGCAGCCGACCGTTCACAGTGGAAGAGCTGCTTGACGGGCTTCATCGAGCTGTAGAGAACCGCTGTAGTGTTGCTGTCGACCAAGGAGCTCGACAGCTGCAGTTGACTGGGTTGGGCGACGGGTGGGCCGTCGACCAGGAGGAGCGGTTCGACCCGGAGGTCGACGGAGCAGTCCGTCGACCTGACATGTGAGCAGCGGTCGACAAGGGGAGCTCGGCGACAACAGCTGACAGTTCTGGTCGACGGAGGGGTCCGTCGACCAGGGGGTAGCTCGACGGGAGCTGTGGTCGACTAGGGGCACTTGGTGGTCGACCACAGGCACCTGGTGGTCAATCAGAGGCACCGGTGGTGGACCAGAGCACCTAGTGGTCGGCCAGGTCAACCAGGTAACCTGCTCGGCGAGTTCTGCGGAGGCACGCAAACGTCGTCGAGGTTGCGATGGCGAAGGCGACTTCAGGCTGGTATCCCGAAGTCGATGTGGTTCATCAGGCGTAGACAACAGCCGACGGATGCACAACGATGCAAGTCGGGCCAATCGTCTGCGCACACCTGCGAGCGTGCGCACTGCTGTGCTCTATGGATGCAACTTTGGACAGCCGCTCTGTTGCAGCGTTTGCACGCCGTCGACCTGCTGCGTTGGCAGGTCGCTCTTCTGTAGTGCTGGCGCGGCTCCTCTATGCAACGCTGGTAGGCGGTCGAACAGGCTAGCTGCAAAGTTGCTAGGTGCCTGATGTGATAATTTCCGTTATTGCTTGTTCAACGATTCTGTAATTTCGACTTTGCTAGTTAAAACTCTTGCCGATGCGCAAGCACTAAGGAACGTGCCAACCCCCGTAGTCTAGCTCACTACGGATGTAGAATGACTTTCCACAATCTTCGCACTTCCTACGTGACCTCTCGGGCCAACACTGCTGATGTCTTCACCAAAGCCCTCGGGTCTGGTGATCATCAGCATTTTTGCACTGCTCTAGGGCTTCTGCCCGTTCTGCCTCACCTGCTTGTCTCTTGATCTTGCACTTGTTGTACACTGATATCTATATTTGTACCTGGATGTCTACTTTTGCTAGGTTGTGATCAGTGTACTACCTTGCAATTATAACTCTGCATGTGAACTGGCCTTGTGGCCGCTTGCTTGTGCTTAGAATGAGTGGTGATATTGATATCCACTCTGGGCTTTGCATTGCTTTGTTCTCTTGCCTGACTAGTCTTGTGACCGTTTGTTGTG